AGTGAAGCCAGGCTGCTCATAATTTGGGCATGTTTCAAGGAGGGGTCAGTCCTTGGAAAGGGACATCACACTTGGAAGGGTGGAGGGATGGAAAAAGAGAGGGAGACTATTGATGAGATGGATTGATACAATGACTGGAGTAATGAGAGTAGGTGTGTTGGAGACAGTAAAGTTGGCACAGGATAGAGCAGGTTTCAGGGTTGTGACTCATAGGGTCACTATGAGTCACAAGCAACTCGATGGCACATAACAATAACAACAACAATGGTTTTGTATTAGTTTCATATATAAGAACTCAACACAAACTGGAAATATAAATACATACACACAGACATGTATGTATATAAAATATTATAGTTCTATAAATCAAATATTCTTCAGCTCTTTTTTTTAAAGAGAGAGAGAGTGCTGGAGCAGTCAATAAATAAGGAAACACATTGCACTGGGAAAAGGGACTTTTCCAAATTATTGAGGACTAGTGATGTCAATTTGAGGACTAAGATGCATCCGTTTTAGACCATGGTATTTCCAATTACAATCTATGCACGTCTAAGACCTGCACAATGAAGAAGGATGACAGAAAAAGAATTGATGCCTTTGAGCTGCGGTGTTGGAGAAGAGCACTGAACATCTCATGGGTGGCAAAAAAAACCCTAATAGATATGTCGTGGAGAGGGTGCAGCCAGAGTGCTCTTTAGAGGCAAGAATGGTGAGGTTTTGCTTCACATACTTCGGACATAGTGCTAAGAGGTGTTATTCCTTGGAGAGTGACATGATATTGGGAAGAGTTTGAGGGTCAATAAAGGAGAGGAAGACCGTCAACCACGTGGACTGACAAGGTGACTGGTGCAATGTGCTCTTTTGTGTCAGGAATTGTGAGGAAAGTGCCTGACAGGACTAGGTTCAGATCTTTTGTTCATAGGTCTCTATGAGTCGTACTCAATTTGATGGCATCTAACAAAAACAACAAAATAAGTAAAAATTCTCAGTGGGCTGAAGAGAGGACAGTATTCCTTCTGGAGCATCAGAGGATAGCCTTCTCCCTTGTCTTTTCTATTCTAGAAATATCCCAACTTCCTTGGAGTTTTGGCCCATTTTCTATATTCATGTATATATTATAGTATTCATTGTCTATCTGTTCTATACTCGCTCTCCCCAACCTCCTCTCAATACCACATATTTTCATAGCACAGATCCTATCCAGTATTTGTTTCATTTCAAGGCCAAGGAATAATATTCTGTGATCCATGCCTTTATCATCAAGGCTTGAGGCTTCACTTTTAAGATAATTTTTTCTTTCTTTTTATGAAAAGTTGTTGTTAAATGTTATCAAGTTATTTCTGAATCCCACCTTTTGTGCAACTATCTTTTAGTTTGTTTGGACAGGTTCTATGTGAGTTTAATGAAATGTTTCTAGAATTCCTATTATTTACATTGCTATCCATATTTGTTACGATCCACATCTATGCACAGTCAAGAAAACACTGGCAAACACATAATCAAGAGGAATTGTGCTACTAATTCAAAAGGTGGCACCTCTAGTGACTTAATTCACCAGTAGTTCCCTGGGACAGAGACAGGCAAAATCCTGTGTGGTCTACTCTGAAAACCTGCAGTAGGGTCAGCTCTGAGTAGTTTCTTTTTTTTACGTCTCCAAATCATATTTGTTTGTTCTTTTGCCAGTCCTGTACTCTTTTTTTTTGTTGTTAATTGACATTCTTTATTCATTGTCCAATTTTTTCCCATTCATTCATTGTTGCACTTGACTCCCCTCCCAACCCTCCTCCCCCCTAGTACACTACCCTCTTGGAAAAATAAAAGAAAAATTCTTTCATTGTTTTATAAACCCTAACCTAGGTCCATTCCACTATGCAGCCTTTGCTCTGGACTCCTGTCATGACAAAAATACCTAATCACATATCCCTTTGAAACAAGTTTTCTCCCTCATCCATTTCAATGAAGTATACATTATTGAACCCATCTTTCTCAGTCTCCCCCCTACTCCAATGTCAGCCCTGTTTTACAACAGTGGCATGATGCAATATTTGTCCTTTTGTGGCTGAGATACTTCACTCAGCATAATATCCTCCAGGGTCACCCATTTTGAATTATATTTCATGAGTTCCTTATTTTTCAATGCAGCGTAGTATTCCATTGTGTGACTTTACCACAGCTTCTCTATCCATTCGTTTCTTGATGGGCACTTAGGTTGTTTCCAACTCCTTGCTATTTTGGACAAAGCCTCCATAAGCATGGGTGTGCATATATCTGCTTGGATGTCAGTTATGGTGTCTTTGGGGTATATTCTCAGTAGTGGAATTGCTGGGTCAAATGGTATCTCCTCTTGCAACTTTTTGAGAAAGCACCATACTGCCTTCCACAGTAGTTGCACCATTTTACACTCCCAGCAACAGTGAATAAAGGTTCCAGTTTCTCCACAACCTCGCCAACATTTGTTGCTTGCTGTTCGTTAAATTTTACTATTCTTACTGGGGTAGATATATCTCATAGTTGTTTTGATTTCCATCTCTCTTAGAGCTAGGGATGTGAACATTTCTTCATGTGCTTGTTAGCCATCTGAATGTCTTCTTTGGTGAAGTGTCTGTTTTTTCTACTGGATTATTTACATTTATCTTGTGATGCTCAAGTATTTTATAAATTCTGAATGTAAGTCCCTTATCTGATATGTCATTACCAAATACTTTTTCCCAGTCTGTGGCTTCCCTTTCTACCCTCGTGGAGAAGTTTTTGGATGTGCATAGGGATTTGATTATTAGAAGGTCCCATTCGTCTATTTCATGTTCTCCTGGTTGTAGGGTTTTGGGAATACTTGGAAGACTCTTTATGTTGTGGACTAGAATTTGTAGCGTTCTTCAAAGTTTTCTTTAATGAAGCTTATAGTCCTTGGGTTTAGTCCTAACTCCAAGGCAATGAGGTTTTGATTCGCACAATGGTTAAATGTATCACTTTTTTTTTTTTAAATTTAAGCTTGTATTCAGAATCTTAATAAATTTATTAGGAATTTCTTAAATTTCTGGTTCACTTAGTTTCATTTCTTCCAACTCTACTTGCAGGTGAAGAGTTTGTTCTTTTTTCTTTTTTTTTACATTTTATTTTTCTATTTATTAAAGATTAAATGATTATGACTTGTAATTTCTTTTTTCTTTTCTTTTTTCACCCCGCCCACCCCTTCCCTCCAGTTCATTCTTCTCTTTGAAAAAGAAAAAATTCTTTCATTGGTTTATAATCCCTCCTCCCAAGTCCACTCCGCTATGCAGCCTTCATTCTGGACTCATGTCATGACAATAATTCCTAATAATATATATCTTTTAAACCTTTTAAACCCTCATCAGTCTCAATGCAGTATACATAAGTTATCCCATCTTTCTCAGTTTCCACCACCCAACCCCTATGTCAGTCCCATTTTACAGCAGTAGCATTATGCAGTATTTGTCCTTTTGTGCTGAGATATTTCACTCAGCATAATGTCCTCCAGGGTCATTCATTTGGAATAATATGTCATGAATCCTTGTTTTTCAATGCAGAGTAGTATTCTATTATGTAAATGTACCACAGCTTCTCTATCCATTCTTTTACTGCAGCTTGTTCACAATAGCAAAGAGTTAGAAACAACTTAAGTGCCCATCAACAAATGAATGAATAGAGAATCTGTTTGTTTTTACCTTTCATCCTTTCTCTTTTCTTAGCCAGCATGAGGATGTTTGAGATATCATAAGGATGCAATGCCTATCACCCCAAAATCCTATTCATCCTGTGGTCTTCTTAGGCTTATAGCTATTTCTTACTATACATCTTATAACTGTTTGCAAACACAGAATTTAAATCTATTTGTTCTAATAAGGAGCATTCATGTTAAATTTCTATTTCATCATTGATTTATATGATTCTATAAATTCTTTTTCCAGAGCAGGTAAGGTTGTTCCTCAAAATATAACTAAAATCCAAATTGCCTCATAAAGCAATTTCTTCAAAGATAGCTTCTGGAATAGTTTGTTGTTGTTAAATGCCATCATCTACCACCCCTACTGGCCCTATGAACATCAGATCTGAACCTTGCCCTATCCTGAACCATCCTTATTATCTCTCTAGTGCTCAAGCGTACTGCGGTAACTACAGTATTGGGCCAACTCATTGAAGGTCTTCCTCTCTTTTAACAATCTCCTACCTTTCCTAGTATGATATCTATGGCCAAAATAAGTGAGATGTTTCATCATCCTTGCCTCTAAGGAACACTCTGATTGTACTTCCTTTCTTCCAGTTGTGTTTGTTCTTTTGACACTTAGTGGAATTTTCAGTGCTCACAATTCGAAAGCATTAGTTATTATTAGGTCTTCCACAGTAACTGTTCTGTATAAATTGTTATTGTTGTTAGATGCCATCTAGTTGAGTATGACTCATTACAACCCTATGAGCAACAGATCTGAATCCTTTCCTATCCAGTGCCATCATGACCATCTCTGATATACTTGAACGCATTGTTGAAGTAATTATGTTAATCTATCTCATTGAGGATCTTCCTCTTTTTCACTGACCTTCCACATTTCCAAGCATGATGTCCCTTTCCAAGAGACATCTAGCACCATGCCCAAATTATGTCAGACAAAGCTTTATTCTCCTGGCCTCTAGGAACCTACTGATTGTACGTGCTCCAAGATATATTTGTGTGTTCCTTTGGCAATTAGCAGAATATTGAGTACTCTTCTCCAATATCACAGCTCAAAGGCATGAATTCTTCTTCTGTCATCCTTATTCATTACACAGCTCTCAGATGCACAGCAAGTGATCAGAAAGACCATGGCCTGAATCAAGCATACATTAGTCTTCAAACTGAGAGCATTGCTCCTCAGAAGTTTGGAGAGGTCCCTGTTCTTCCTGAAATATGTTCCAAATGTAAAGAAGTTAAGTCATCTGGGAATCCCTTTATGACGTTAAGAGCACTGTTTCTCAACTTATTCTCTTACACTCTCTCTATTCTCTAGTGAAAGGAGTGTTTTCCTTCTCCTTTCGAGTGGAACCAAACATGGCCCCCACTGCTCAGCTGCTTGTCTTTGCTATTTTACCTGATGGAGAAGTTGTTGCAGATATGGAAACACTGCAGATTGAAAAATGTTTTGCTAACAAGGTAAGTGCTGCATTTTAGCCAAGTTTCTTTATTTTTCTCACCTTAGGAAGGAAATACAGCACTTGAGTACATTAAAATATTCTCATACTAGTCTCCTAAAACTTTTAACTATTTCTAAAACCAGGGAGAGATGGTCATGCTCTATGGGTCTATATACCGTAGCAGGCCAAAGCAGGCGGTGATGAGCGCCTGCTCCTTTCTTTAAAGCCTCTTGTTTTGTCTTAAAATTCCTGTAGCTTCCAAACACTATCCTATTGTAAAACCATAATACTATTAATGGTAATATGTTTTCTATCTCAAATTTTTAGTTGACAATGATGGAGTTCAAGTCCACCAGCTCCTCCATAGGAGAAAAATGGACAATCTGTATGATTTATTTCCTCTGAAAACCCACTAAAGGGTCTGTTATGAGTCAGTTCTGACTTGATGTACCGAACAACCACATACTTACTTGACTCAGGAAGAGTTTTCTCAAAGCTGCAATATTATTCAAAATGGGTGACCCTGGAGGACATTATGCTGAGTGAAATATCTCAGTCACAAAAGGACAAATATTGCATGGTGCCACTATTGTAGAATGGGACTGACATCAGGGTTGAGATAAGACTGAGAAAAACTGGATAAATTATGTATACTGCATTGAAACATATGAGGGAGAGAATAATTTAAAAGTGATATATGATAGGGTATTATGGTTATCACAAGAGTCCACAATTAAGGTTGCATAATGGAGTGTACTCTGGGCAGTGGGAGGGGTGCGAGGGGATTGTATACCAATGAATAATTTTTCTTTTACTTTTCAAAGAGAGGAGAGAAATGGAGGGTGGGGGGAGGGCTGGGCAGGGAGAAAAGTGCAACAATGAATGAAAGGAAATCCAAAATCTCTGTAAATGTTCATTAAAATTAATAAAATAAAATTTTAAAGAAAGTATGTGAAGCAAAATAAAACAAAGTATGCCTTCATGGCATTAAAATCTAGAGAAACAAAAAAATAAGATTATTTTTTCATTTTCAAAGTGGATTACAAGGAGAGGTTGTTGTGGAAAATTGAATCCAAACTGACACATAGCTGACCCTCCAGCAGATTTTCAGGGACAGTTAAAGGCACTGGAGGAGATTGTCCATGGAGCACCTGGCGGATTTGAACCGTGTGCCTTCAGGAGTGCAGCACAGATTCTTTTTCATTGTCAAAGACCGCATAGTTGTAATGTGAATTACAATGAGATAGAAATCCATTTTATCCCAACAGAATTTTATGCAACTTACTTGTATTTTAGGAGTTTTGGTGGCACAGTGTTGTGAGACTGCTGGCAAACATGATAAATTTCCAGCTCCATCTGACTAAAACTCAAAAACTCTTTCTTGCCATTTTGTAAGAACTAAATCATAGCTGATGCTCCAGTGAATTTTTGTGAGCCTGTAAATCACAGGGGAGAAGTTTGTCCATTTTTCTCTCATGGAGTCACTGGAGGATTACAGAAGGCAGGGCACTTTGGGTTAGCAGCACGACTGCCCGTAGACCACCAGAGCTCCCCTCAACTTACCAGAGAACAATAAAGCTAGACCAACACAGTCAAGAACAGAGGCTGTTCCACTGGATTTCTTGTGTGTTTTAGAACACCTGAGAGAAGCTTTCTGCTTAGAATAGCCATGTTATGTCCCAGCTACATTTTTCTGTAATGTTATTTTTTCTGGTAATGATTTCTCTTGTTGGTCTCTTTTCTTTTCATCCTGTGGAAATGAAAGAAATTATTTTAAGCATGTTTTCTAGAAAAATATTTTCTTCTCGGGCTCTAATTTGAAAATTGTTATTGATGATGATGATTTATGTAATTTTGGGTTTTTTAATCTATATACATAGGTAAATATGTGCTATTGCTGTTGTTATATACTGCCAACTCATAGCTGAGATTGTTCATTCTTCTCCCATGTATATACATAACAATACCTGTATAACTTCCCCATAGAAGCAAAGGTCCGAGGACATTATATTCAATCACTTAATATTTTTAGATTATCTCTTATGGATTAAAGGTGTATAAACTTTTAAAAACATATAGAAAAAAATTCATGTGCTATTTAGGAGAAACCAAACCCAAGACCACCACCATCAAGCTGTGAATCACCAGTCTGTTGACTTTCTGAGATTGCAAATCTTTTTGGGAGCCAACTATTCATCTTTCTTCCATAGAGCAGCTGGTGGATTTGAACCACTGACTTTTCACTTAGCAGTTCAACACATAATGCACTATGCACTAGAGCTCCTTATTTTTAGAAAAGAGCTGTCCTAGATTTGCCATAAAAAGTTAAAAAGGAGAGATTTACTGAAGTAAAAATTTAAGCACTATAGAAGTTACATATCACACAGATGATCAGTAAACAGAGCAAAGAGTGGACCGAGACTATGAAGACAGATAAACTATAAGTATTTTTTTCCACTCTTCAATTTGTTAGAACAGAAAAACTGTTCCCTACTCAAAATTTGTATACTTCTAAATTTGATCATAACTGATTTAGTGTACTCATTCAACATTTTCTAATACTTAAAATTATGTGTTTGTCAGTCTTAACTGGTTATATAATTGGTAATTAAAGTTAATGTTGTTGATGTAAATAGACTCATATTTTAGCAACTTGCTTTAAAGAGGTTTTTTTTTCATTTTTGTAAGAGTAGACTGTTTTGCATTTTCTCATATATATAATTCTTAATAATATTTTAGTTTATTATAATCCAAAGATCACACTTTTTGTCATGAACATTCACAAAGTTTAAACATTCGCATGTTTAAAGTTCAATACTTAATAAGGAATCTTTTTATGGTTGTTGTTGTCATTATTGTTATTATGTGCCGTCGAGTCACTTGCAACTCATAGCGACCCTATGCACAAGAGCCCAAAACCTGCTCTATCCTGTGCCAACATCGCAGTCTCCGACACACACATTCCCACCACCCCAATCAAAGAATCGATCCATCTCATCGAAGGTCTTCCTCTCCTGCACTGTCCCACCACTCTCCCAAACATGATTTTGCTCTCCAAGGACCAGTGCCTCCCTGCAGCATGCCCAAAGTATGTCAAACGAAGCTTCAGAATCCTTGACTCCAAGAGCAATCCAAATTCACCCTCTCCAGGACAAACCTGTTTGTTTTTCCAGCAGTCCATGGTATTTCCAACACTCTTCTCCAGCACCACAGCTCAAAGGCATGAATTCTCTTTCTATTATCCCTAGTCCAACTCTCCAATGCATAGCACGTAATTGCCAAGACTACAGAGTACCTTACTGTCCAGCCTGACATTTTTGCTTTTCAGTACTCACAGTTAATTAAAATGATGAACATTGCTTCATCTTGGTGTTAAAGAAACTGATTTAATGTCTCACATAGATCTCAAGATAGGTAATTCCAAACTATTACATTAGTTCAATAACATAAGTCAAATGGGTTTTTTTAAACTCAGTATTTAATTTCAGTCTAAATCAGCTTTCCATTCAAGAATTGAAAAAGTTACCTGCTGCTTCATAGAAACTAAAATCTGTTCTATTTTATGTTTCACATTTTTAATACGCTTAAGTTTTTCTGCTTTAAAAATATTTTCATAAAGAGTCAGTAGATTTACTAACAAATTAACTTTTGCTGGTCAAAGCACAATGGAATCTGGAATGTTTCTGCACAATGTTTTCCATTAATTTGTTTTTATAAATTTTCTGAACCAAACCACTTTTGGTATGCATATTAAAGGGTTTAGGAAAAAGACTGTAAATCCCACACACTGATAAACAGTAATACATTCAGTACTTTAGAATTTTAAGTATTTAAAATTTCAAGACTACTTCCATTACCTGGTTTCAAGGAAGAATATGATTTTTTCATAACTATCTCTACTCTCCATCACAAAAACATCACAGGAAGATAGGTCAGCTACACCAAGTCAATATTTTTATTAGAATATTTGTTTTCACTTCCATCCAAGGATATCACCTACTACAATAAGATGTTTCTTTAAAAGAATCTATATTTTACCTGCTATGTAAGGAATAACACATAGGAAACATAAGTTAACTACAATCATACTCCTAGTTTACTCCAGAAAAGCTTAACAAAACTTACTTTTAGATGGATAAGGAGAAAGTGTAGAAAAGACAAGTCCTATCTTGGGGTTGAAGAGAATTTTGATATTATAAAAATTATAAAGGCTATAATCATATCTTCTTTTCAGGTCAATTTGACCTTCTCCTCAGCCCAGAGCATGCCAGCATCAGACAACCACCTCAAAATCACAGCCACACCCCTCTCCCTCTGTGCCCTCCGTGCTGTGGACCAGAGTATGCTGTTAATGAAACCTGAAGCTGAGCTCTCGCCTGAATCAGTGAGTCTTATTTAAGTCTTAGATTTAAAAAAATTGCAGGCATGCTAATATGAGTTTGGGAAGTTATAAGTTGCATACAACTCTTCAAGATGTTAGGTATAATGTGATTGTCAATGAGCCAGAATTCGGTTGAATTTGACAGTAGGCATTGCAAAAGGTTTCTTGCATGTTGTTGTTGTTGTTGTTATGTGCCATCAAGTAGCATGCAACTCATAGAGATCCAATGTACAGAAGCTTTAAATGCTGTTTTTTCCTGAGTCAATCTCAATATCTCTATACACAACTAACTCCATTACCCCAGTTACTGTGTCAATCCATCTCCTCCAGAGTATTCCTCTCTTGGTGCTGTCTCACTATCCTTCCAAGCATGATGTTTTTCTCCAAAGACTGGTCCTTCCTGGCAACAGGCCCATCTCTCTATGCTCAACTGATTTTTTACAAGGAGATGAAATCAGTTAAGTGGGGAAACAACAGCCTTTTTAACAAATGGTGTTGGCAAAATTGGAAAAGTACCTGCAAAAGACTCAAGCAAGATCCAAACCTCACTAAATATATAAAAACCAACTCAAGGTGGATCATGGACCAACACTAAAACCAAGGACTATAATCTTCATTAAAGACAATCTTGGAAGAACGCTAGAAGTCCTTATCCACAACCTAAACAGTCTTCCAAGTATCCTGAAAAACCTACAACCAGGAGAAGATAAAATAGATGAATGGGACCTTCTAAGAATCAAATCCCTATGTGCATCTAAACTCTTCTCTCGAGCACCACAACAAGATAAACATAAATAATCCAATTGAAAAATGGGCAGAGGTTATGAACAGACATTTCACCAAAGGAGACATTCAGATGGCTAACAAGCACATGAAGAAATATTTAAAATACCTATCTCTAAGAGAGATGGAAATCAAAACAACTATGAGATATCATCTACTCCAGTAAGAATAGTAAAATTTAACAGAACAAATGCTGGCGAGGTTGTGGAGAAACTGGAACACTTAATCACTGCTGGTGGGAGTATAAAATGGTGCAACCACTGTGGAAGACAGTATGGTGCTTTCTCAAAAAGTTGCAAATAGAGATACCATTTAACCCAGCAATTCCACTACTGGAAATACACCCCAAAGAGA